ACAGCACAGGGCACGAGCAGCGCCACCTTGGCTGCGGGGCAGGCGGTGTGCGCCGTGGCCTCATCGTCGTGCTTGAAGAACGGCAGGCGGTACGTGGCGTCCTCGCTCTCCCGCGCAAGGAGAAAGATGGCATCCACACACCGCATCACCTGTGCCGCGACGCGAAGTGGCACAGGAACACGTCAGCAAACGCCGAACAGACAGCATGGCGGGTACAGTCGCCAAGGTCGCACGCGTGCGTGTATTCATGCGGTTCACAAACGCACGTTGCACACACCCCCCCCCCCCCACACACACACACACACGACACACAAAAATGGTGTGCATTCGCAATTCAATACAGTGCGTCTGCAACACACCTCTTCGATGCTTGCGGCGAGCCGGCTGGTGCCCGCTTGCAGCGCTTTCGTCTGGCTGTGAGCAAACTCGTCCAGCGTCGTCACATCTGGTGGATGAAGCGGGTGATGCAATGAGGAGGTGGGAGAGGTGAGTGGTACACGGACAGTGAGGGTCGTGTGAATGGAGGGTGGAAGGGTTAGAGCAGACCATATCACGTGCGCAAACACACAAAACGCACACCCACACACACCCCGCACCCACATACGCACACGCATACAAATGTCAAAGCGTGCACCTTGCGGGATGGAGGAGAGGACGAGCTGTTGCTGGCGAATGTCCGTGAGAATCTGCTTGACAGTTTCATCAATGACGTGGTTCACGCGGGAGGTGGTGTGGTCGAGCAGATCAAGGCCTGCGCCAATGCGCGCCGTGTACGCGTCGATGTTCGACGCATCCCACGTCAGGCTGAAGGTGGTGAACGTGTGTGTGTGTGTGTGTGTGTGTGTGTGTGTGTGTGTGTGTGTGTGTGTGTGTGTGTGTGTGTGTGTGTGTGTGTGTGTGTGTGTGTGTGTGTGTGTGAGCGTTGAAGGCGTGTGGATGGTTCGCGACACACGTGTACCAAGAGCATGGACACGGAAAGGCAATCGCAATACTGGCACAGCACGCAACTTGGGGGATACACACAAGCTTCACAACGACAGCAAGCACAACCACAAACAATAAAAGCCAAACATGCACCCACACCGACACAACACCCCTCCACACACAACACCCCTCCACGCACACACACGTACACACACGCACACACACGCACACACGCACACACACACACGAAGACACAACCCCCCCCCCCACCACACACACACACACACAGCACCGCCACCTGATGAGGCCTGGGCGGAATGCGCGCATGACCGCGGAGATGGGTAGTTTCAGCAGCGGCGCCACATACGACGGGATGGATGTCACAATCCTGCGTGCATTGCGTGGTAGTGATGGTGTGTGTGTGTGAACGTGTGTGAACGTGTGTGAACGTGTGTGAACGTGTGTGAACGTGTGTGAACGTGCGTCAATATAAATGCGTGCGTAAGAGAGAGTGTGCGCGTTTGTGTGTTTGCGCAAACGCACGCGACAGAAACCGAATGCACTGTGGTCAGCATGGGCGTTGCTGCTGTAGGTGATAATGATAGGCAGGAGCGATGTTGTGCCAGCTCACCTGTGGTGGCGGTTGAGGATGTTCTGCAGCTGCTCCGCAAACGACTTGAACTTCTCCGCCTGCGCCAGCACACTGATGGACGAAAAACACGACACAATGTCAAGGGGGGCGACAGAACAAGGAGGTGAGCCACGACATACACACACATACTAGGAGCCATTCGCACCACAGCAAGTGCCGTCTTCAATCGCGCCTGCAATGAACAAGATGCAGGACAACGCACACAACGCACATGACTCACAGCACACAGCACACAACACAATCTACGACACTGCAGAATACAGAACAACACGCAGCACATAGCCACACGCACCCATTCAGAGAGTTGGGGATGGAGATGCGCTCGCGGGTCATGATCTTGGCTTCGTCAAGGAGGGTGAACACGGCTGGATCGGCGTTGAGGACGAGACGGCGTGTGGTTGGGTGCTCAACGAGTAGCGTCGCCTTCAGGCCAGAAAGCATGCCAGACACGCTTGCCTTCCACTTGGTGAAGTACATTGTCTCATACGTCAGCAGCGCCTACATGGAGAGAGATGAGGTTTTGCAAGACAAGGAGGGTGAGCAGCATCATCACTTACAAAGCACGCAAAGCAAGCAGGGGGACAGAATACACACTGCACAAACATACGCAAGCAGGGGAAGCATACGCAGAGGAAACAGCGCACGTCACAACACAGACAAGTGCACGCCAATTCGCACCTTTGAGAGCTTGTTGTAAAGGCGGATGGTGTGTGCGGCGGGGCCAGCCGCCTGAATCACCTCCGTGTGCGACTTGAAGAACATCATGGGAGGCTGCATGCAAAGCACAAAAGGTGAAGACGAGGAGGCGAAGTCATATCAGCATTCGCATGCGATGATAGAGGTTTGGGCACACGGCCGAGATGAGGAATACATACACACATTATGCACACCATGAATCATCATCGGCGTCACCACCAGATAACTTCCACACCATCACCACGATTATCACCATCATCACCACACGACGGCACACCATCACCGCTGCCATGGCGCACCTCCATGCGGTGGAGGAGGTGGCGGGTCCACACAATGTGGCCGACGGTGGGCGGAAGGCAGCGTGGCAGCGGCGGATCGGCCTTGTGCTGCTCAAACTGCGCCTGCAGCTGTTGGTGACAAACACGGTAGCAGCAGCGGTCGTGGTCGTGGTAATCGTCGTGGTTTGGGAACGGTGGCTTTGTTGTGAGGGAAGGGTCGAGGAAGCAATACCTTCTCACACAACACGCGCGCATGCACACGCACATGCACACATTAACACACACATTAACACACACGCACACATTGACACGCATTACACACACACACAGAACCGCACGCACCACGCCTTCGGACCTGTTCAAGCTCGCCCTCGTATTCAATGAAGAGCTGCATGATAGCGGCGTTGACCGAGGATGCCATCGACTCCTTCGTGTCCAGGATCGTCTGGAGAAGAACACGTGGGCGCGGTTGAGAGTGAGGTGATGGTGTTTCGGTGTGCTGCCCTATATGATTCAGTCAAAGCAAGCAAACAACACACAGCACATGCACGCACGCACACATGCACGCACATGCACACACACACACACAAAACACGTGCTGCTGGGTGTGCTAGGGACCTTGAACTTGTTGATGTACGCAATGGCCTCCATGGTTGACGGTGCGCGCTCCATGCCCGAGGTGAGAGCGGTCGAGAGGTACATGGTTGATGCCGCCACAAGGTCGGCCATCGCCTGATACCCCTGCGAGAAGAAGTCGCCCGGCTCAAGGTTGTGCAGACAGTCACCTGGCAATACATGTGGTTGCGTATGCGTGTGCGGGGATGTGAGGGTGTGTGTGCGCGTGTGTGTGCGTGTGTGTGAGCGTGTGAAAGTGTGAGGTTGGTGTGCTTGCTTGCTTGCTTGCTTGCGGGAACATAAGTGCAAACGCATGCACACACACACAGAACACACACAGACACACACAGACACACACAGACACACACAGACACACAACACAATTGCGAACCCGAGTCGAGGAGGAACTTCTTGATGGCGACAACATCGCGGGCGAGCCGCGCGTGCTCCGGGAAGAGGATGCACCCAGACATGGCCTTCTTCATCTCCTCAAGCGTGTGCAGCTCCGTGAAGATGTGCACAAGCTCGCGCAGGCGCTGCAAGAACGCCTGCGCACGCATAAAGATGACTGGTGGCAGCTTGGCGCCCTCCCCGCTGCGCTCAGAGAGGGCGGAGGAGATGGCTGAGAAGGAGCTGTCCCTTCGGCTCGAGTCACTGTCGATGCGCGATGTACGGGAGGTGCGCGATGGACGGTCGTGCAGCATCGTGCTCACGCGGCCGCCGTCACTCGGGCGCGGCGTGCTGCTGTCCACCGTGCCCCTGGTGCGAGGCAGAGATGGGGAGAGTGAGAGGAGGGTTGTGCGTGAGACCGCGGTTGGCACGCCAAAACTCACAGATGAAATGTGGGTATGGACACGAGTATACAGTGCACACATGAACATGATCACACAGAAGACGACGACACACGAAGACAACCACAACCACAAGGAAACAGACACACACACACACACACACACATGCACAGACACACGACCACAATCACAATCACAAACGAAGCCACTCTCACGCGCCACGGGTACCTGCGGTGTGCGCGACCAAGGAGGCGGCGGGCGAGCATGGGCTCGAACGTGTCGAGATAGAACTTGACCACGCGCTTGCACCGGCGCAGCTTCTCAATCACCTCCTTCGACACAATCACACTCGGCTCCCCGTGATCGTCTGTGTACAAGATCGTGCGTGCGTGCGTGCGTGTGTGTGTGTGTGTGTGTGTGTGTGTGTGTGTGTGTGTGTGTGTGTGTGTGTGAGCGTGTGAATGTGTGTGTGTGTGTGAGCGTGTGAATGTGGAAGTGATCGCGGCGGTAGGTGTGACAGCAGCGATTATGTTACTCGTGCTGAATGAGACAGGTTTGGCTACATCACATTTGAATACGGATGCAAACGAACACACACACGCACACACAGACACACACACACACACAGACACGCACACACAGACACGCACACACAGACACACACACACACAACACGCATGCGGCAGGCTGCGCGGTTGCATACCCTTTGCGAGCCAGATTGGCTGGTAGGGGGTGTCCTCGTCGTCGGCGGCCTCAGGCCAGAACACGAGCTGCTTCTGCTCCTCCGCCCGCGGACACAGGAAGCACGCCAGACTACGCGACACCTGCGGTGGTGGTGGTGGCGCATGAAAGAGGCAACAGTCGTGTGAGTGGTAAATACGTGGGCATGATGGTTGCGTGATCAAGGTATCACGCAAGTCTCCTCCCCTGCATGTGTGTGCATGGCCCACATCATCACGCCTTCGTCACTGCCACTGCCACCACGCAATGCGCCTGCTATCTACACACAAACACACATACACGCACATGCGCGTTCGCATATATACAAACACACACGCACACATGCACACACCTCTTCGCTGATTCTGGAGAAGAAGGACTGGAAGAAGACGGCGGCGTTGATGTGCCGGACGACTGTTCCGCTCGGTTTTGCGGACGAGCTCATTGCCTGCAGGCTCGCAAGCACCGCCTCTGCTCACACATGCACATGGATGGGAGAATAATGGTTGTGGGTGAACTTGGCGGGCACGCAAACGTCATGGAACCAGTGCTCGCCACAAAGAAACACAAACACAGGTACACATACACAAAAAAATCCAAACGCAAACGTACACATACATTCAACACACACACACACATACATTCCACACATACATTCAACACAAACACAACCCCACAATTGTGCTGAACGAACCAGGGTCTTGCTTGGAGAGGTCCTGCAAGAGCGGGCGGATGTTGTCAAGAAACTTGATGTAGTCCTTGCACTCGTTTGTGGCCTCCGTAATGGCTCCGTCAGTGCTGCGCCAGCGGCGCACAACCTTCGACTGGCTGGAAATGAGCACACTGATGATGCCCTGGCGCGCGCGTGTTTTCAGCTGGTCTGTCACGGAGCCTAGCGCAAGCTGCCTGTCCTTCCAGAACTCGAGTTCCCCAAGCACTCCTTTGTAGTGGGGTGGGTGCTCAAATGCGCCCTCTTGCAGCAGGTCGTCAATGGCCTCAATCCACCCGTCGACGATGCCCTCCGCCTGTTTGAGCGTCTCCGGATCAACGGCCCTGTTGCCCGGACGAAACAGCCCAAACGCGTACATGGGCGGGATGGATAAGCACACGGTGCGCATGTGCAGTGCGGCCTCAAACGTGTTCAGGCTGGACAGCAGCTTGTCAATGGCCTGCTTCAGCTGCTGCTGCTGCTCCGTCGTGCACTCGTGCCACTCTGCAAAGTGCAGGTACGGCGTGAGCACGCTGTTGTATGCGCTGCGCACCTCGTTCGCCACGTTGGGCTCCAGCTCGCCCCACACCACGAGCTTTGGAAACAGTTCGCTGTCCTGGAACGGGTCTTCCGCGTCATCATCGACGATGCCTGCCATCGTCCCGTCCTCAGACTCCACCTCGTCCTGCCTGCCTTCCTCCAGCGCCGGCTGCACCGCCACGCTCAGCCGCGGTGCAAACCGTGCCCGCCGGTGCGGCTCGAGGTGGCCCGTGTCGTGGTCACCACCACCAAGCCCGTCACCGTCGTCTGTAGCGGCATCACCTGGGCCGTGTTCGCCGCTGCCACGGTCGCCTGCGCTCTCGCTGTCGCCATCACCTTCGTCGTCATCCACCATCCCGATGCTGTCAACGCTCTCCGTGTCACCATCGCCATCGTGTCGGCCGCCAAGGCCAGTGCTGGCAACATCGCTGCGTCCACTGCGTGGCTTTCCTGATGACCTTGCATCCTGCGGCCTCGCCGAGCTTCCAACCTCTGCACGCACGTGTGAGTGTGTGTGTAGGGGGTGTGAGTGTGTGAGTGTGTGTGTGCATTTGTGTGTTTGTGTGTTTGTGTGTGTCTGTGTGCGTGTGCTTGTGTGTTTGTGTGTGCGTGTGCGTGTGTGTGTGCACTAGTGTGTGTGTGTTTGTGTGTGTGTGTGTGTGTGTGTGTGTGTGTGGGTGTGTGTGTTTGTGTGTGTGTGTGTGTTTGTGTGTGTGTGTGTGTGTGTGTGTGTGTGTGATGAATGTGTTTGTTCAAATGAACGCAGAGTTTGCACACAGGAACAAACAAGCGAGGGGCCAGCTGGCCAGCACAGTGCGCACCGCTTGTGCCAGCGACTTCGTTGGCAATGTCCTCGTGCGGCTTGGTGCGGATGAAGTAGACGCATTTGAGCAGGAACTCTGAGGGCGGGCTGTGGCCCACCGAGAACTCCTGGTCGTCGCCCTCGTACATGATCGGGCCCTCCTGCGTGACCATGTTGGCAGGGATCCACACGAAGAGTGCGGGTGGCGGGTTTTGTGATGGCGGCGCAGTGAACCGCAGCAGTGCTGGTAGCGTGTCTGGGTGTGACAGGAACTGCTCCAGCACGGCACTTCGCAGGTAGTCACCAAATGATTCCTGCATCTTGCTGACCAGCCACCAATGGCGGCGGTCCATTTGTGCTGGATATGTGTGTGTGTGCATGTGTGTGTGTGTGTGTCAGCAGAGATCATCACGATGTGAGGACCACACACAACACACACACACACACATTCACATTCACACGCACATGCACACACACATTCACATTCACACGCACATGCACACACATTCACATTCACACGCACATGCACACACATTCACACACACACACATTCACATTCACACGCACATGCACACACCACCCCTTCTCCCTCCCTCCCTCCCACCTACTTCACTCACACACTCACTCAATGACACACTCACTCACTCACACACAGACTCACCTGTGATTTGGTCGAAGCTCATGATGGCTGCTGTTGTGGTTGAGCAGAGTTGTCACAAACACACACACAGAGAGAGCACACCGTCAGACCTGCACCGCTGCACAGCCCTCTGGCTTTCCTTGCTTTCCTCGTCAGCCTTCCTGATCGCCGTACCTAACCCTATGACCTCGCTGATTCCTTCTCCACCTCGCGCACGCGCGTCGCGGTCTCTCCACAGCACTCACTCCAACACTCACTCGCACTCCAACACTCCAACACTCCAGCACTCTCTGCCCGTTATCTCCTCTGCTGCTTCTTGCTTGTTTCTCCTCCTCTTCTCTGCAGCGGTTGCCAGGCTGTCAAACTTGACAGGTCGGGAAAATACGTATTCTGCACGCAAGAGGAACAAGAAAAGCAGCAGCAGATATCGGGCGCACGTTGGTTGTGTTTGGCGCAGTGTGTGCTTTGGAGTGTGGAGACATCCGAGAGACAGACAGACAGACAGACGGAGAATGGCGAGTGGAAACCAGTTTGGGCGCTACGTGTGCCAGCTGCGCAAGGTGACCTTGAGCTACTGCCGCGGTGGCGTCACCAGCCAGGGCATGAGGTAGGTGCACATGTGGCTGTTTTTGGGGGGGGGGGTTCTGCGTCTGTGTGTCTGTGCGTGTGTGTGTGTGTTTGTGTGTGCGTGTGTGTGTCTGTGTCTGTGTGTCTGTGTCTGTGTGTCTGTGTCTGTGTGTGTGTGTCTGTGTCTGTGTGTCTGTGTCTGTGTGTCTGTGTGTCAGTGTGTGTGTCTGTGTGTCTGCGCTGCTGTGCACACATCTGGCCCGTCTTTGTTGGTGCCCTTCTTTTCTTGTGTCTCACACCGGTCTCACGCCAATCGCTCGCTGTGCACGTGGGTGATAGGGAGCTCGTGGACGGACCTTTGGTCGACTTTTGCCAACAGAACCCACACATTGTGTTCCAAATACAACGCAAGCCAGGCACACAACCGCATGTCCACGGCGAATTCCGTAAGCCTTGCACATGCTCAACCAGACACACACACATGCTGGAACATGTAGCTTGTAAACGTGCACAGATGCAGCACAAAGCACTTGACCTCTTCACGCAGCCGTCTCATGTACACACACACACACACACACAACACACAGTGAGTGGCCACTCGAAATCGGTGTCTGTGAAAGGGAAGAGCGCCTCTGATATCCTGGACGCTGTGAAGCAGCTTGCGCGGGAATCCGGTAACAAGCCACGCAAGGTGCAAAACCCTGTTATCACCAAGAACCCATCGATCCAAGGAGACTGGCACGCGTTCCTCAAGGAGCCAACTCCAACCACGGAAGGAGCGTGGCCAAAGTCATCGTAGGCGCCCTCGATAGCTACCACACCCCGGGTTTGCTTCCCATGCCTGTAACTGACCGAACCAAGGCTTTGTTGGTGTGTGTGTATTTGTGTCTGTACGTGTGTGTACTTGTGTGTGTACTTGTGTGTGTATGTGTGTGTGTGTGTGCGTATGTGTACTTGTGTGTGTATGTGTGTGTGTGCGTATGTGTATTTGTGCGGACATGTGTCTGTGTGTGTGTCTATCCCATGTAAGCTTGTGTGCGCCTTGCCGTGCGGTGTGTATGACGACAGATTGCTCAGTTCTTTGTTTCAGTGTTAGTTGCTCATCACTGCTGTAGGTGTTGGTTGTGTGTAGTAAAGTGCGCACAACAGCCATCGCAAGACGAGCACAAACAACGCATGGGGCGAGTACACATGAGGTTGAAACCAACAAACAAGCAACCGCAGCACTCACTGCCCACCAAGTGCCAACACACACACAGAGTTAGCCTCAATCCAGAGGCACAGTACAGAAGACGCACAAGCGTGCGCTGTAGTTACTCGTTGCTACAACCGCGTACGCACACAACACACAACAAGTCAACAAAGAAGGAGGGAGAGGGGGAGGCCAGTTAAACGAAAGTGGAAAACCAGCGGCACACCACACAAAACAAGGTACACATATACCATGGTCGTAATACTACACGCACAACAACACCAACACAATCGGGAGACACACACAAGCCACTTAACAAGAAGCACGCCACATGTGATGGATATCTAGCAAGGAATGAAGTGGGGTTGAAGTACGGCTCATCGAGAACAGCAAAGAAGAAAGGGAAACAAAGGGAAACAAAGGGAAACAAAGAGGAGGAGGAAGAATGAGAGGGGAAACGGCAATGAAACAGAGACAAGGGAGGAGCGTATGACTGCAAGGAGGACAAGAGATAGGGGGGGGGGGGTTACGAGGCATTTAGCGCTGTGAAGCAAGAGGGGGGGGTTCTGTTCGCAAAAGGCTCAAGGGAGCCGTAAGGAGCGCGCTGCTCTGCTCTTTGGTTCAAAGTCGCCATCCCCATCGCCACCATCATCGTCGTCGTCATCGTCGTCATCTGCGACCTCGTGCTGGGTGCCGGGGGCGCTTGATGTCATGCTCACCTGCGACTGCGACTGCGACTGTCCCGCCTGGCTGCCCAGCCCCTCCATATCCATCCCACCGGATGCCATCCCATCGCCACCCAATGCACTGCCTGTTGCCGCTCCTGCTCCTGTTGCGCTTGCTGTTGCTGCGTCGGCGCCGTTGCCGGCGGTGCCCCTGGCCTGTGCGCGAATGCGTGCCTTTTTCACCATATCTTCCAGGAAGGGCGCGAGCGCGGTCGGGATCATCTTCTTCGCTTCCTCCACCTCCTCGTCCGTGCACGTGCCCTCCTCAATGCCAAAGGCAAGGCCCATGCGCTTCAGGATATCAACGTCGTCGTGGATCTCAAACGGCGTGTTGAACTTGAACAGGTACTCCGTTCTGCGTTACGTGGAAGGAGAGGAGGGGGGAGACGGTGTAACAGTGGTCAATGCGAGAGTGTGCGTGAGGTGACGAGAGCACACGTGAGACGTGGGTGCGACACTGTCACGGGCAATCCACGCAGTTGACGCAGTTGGGCTGGCAAGTACAACTTCTTGGAAGAGCACACATTGGTATCGTGGACATAGGACGCACACACACACACACATATACACACACATGCACACACATGGCAGGTTACATCATCAACGCAGCCTGTTCAGTGACAAACAACAAGGTCCCGCTCCTCACCACACCACGATTATGGGTTGGCGCACCTGTCGTGTGACATGAAGCAGTCGACAACGGCGTCCTTGGATGTGTTGACGACAATAAACGGGAGCTGCACCTTGGACGCGTCGCCAACACCGCCGGGCTGCTCCTGCTCCCGCTGCTCGTTGCGCTTGATCAAATTCTTGAACGCAATTTGCTGGCAAGGCAGCACCGTCACAATAGTAGCACGCACAGTGAACATTGATTGGACCAGGCGTGAGAGGCGAGCAGGCAAGGCAACAAGGGACGCCAGAAGTAACGCAAAACACACACAAACATAGACATAAGACACAGAGATAGACACAGACACATAAACGCGCGCGCACGGAGACACACATAAAAGCGCGCGCGCGCACACCGACACAGACATACACACACATACACAAACACACGCACACCCTCTTGACCATAAGACGATACCTGGAGGATGAGGTCGTTGAGCTGCTCGTTTGCGCGGCGGATGGACTCGAGCTTCTTTGCTTTGAGCTCCTCATACTGCTTGTACTCCTGCTCGCTGTTGGTCGGCAGGCCAATCCACTTGATCTCCTTGCGCTCCTTGGAGATGATGTTGAGCGCCATGAGCACGTTCAGGGCATCGTACACGCGCCGGCGGATGTTCTTTGGCTCGCTCGTCGTGTCGCCGTCAGCCATGGCCTGCGACTGCTGCTCACGCACAAGTTCATCTGCCACCTGTGTGCAAGAGGGGCATTTGTGAGCTCACACAGCTGTAACAGGGCACCACTCTCTTGTCAACCGCAACGAGACACACGCAAGCACACACACACAGTTATCTGTGGCGCGGGAATGTTGTCCGTACAATTAGTTGCCACGCCTCGTGTGGCGTGCACGTACCTCGTTGTATGTGGTGACGCCTTTCTCCTGCACCTTCTGGCAGACGCATGTGGAGAAGTGCTTGAGGCCACGATGCCGAAGCGAATCCTGCACCTTGGATTTCCTGCGTTTGGTTGGTCTGCAACAGTCGCCGTAACACAGAACCGCATCACAAACCATGAAAGTGGGTGAGAAGACGGTGCGGTGTGTACACTCGAGATGTCCAAAGGGTGCAGGTGGCAAATGAGGCAACGGCGCATCACCAAACACACACACACACACACACACACACACACACACACACACACACACACACACACACACACACACACACACACACACACACAAATATATACACGCGAGCCATACACATATGCAAGCTGTTTCGCACATCCGCATTCAAAATCAAAGCACAGTGTGGTTGATTGGACGGTGGGGACACGAAAACAAGATGCACGCACAGCAACATGCACAAAGGGAAAGCACACGGACTGAAAGCAATAGGGCCGAAATCACACTGTCTGCCACAAATGGAAACGAAAGGGGATACAAGTCACAATCATTTCACATCACATCAACCGGCATTGTAGGAGGGGGTTGGTTACAAGCTGCAAAGAAGCAGACACAAAGGCAACAGCAAGGGGGGAGGGGAAGCGAAGGAGGCGAAAGTCGGCATGCATGACACATTCGCACACAAATCAAAGCGACACACACGCGCACAGACAAATTATACAGCGTGGCAAGCAAAACACCAGCAGCCACGATCCAACAACAATGAAACCAACAACACTCGAGCGGGATGCCAGCACACGTGAAACACTCGACAGCAGAAGCAGAAGCAACAGCAGCTGATGCAACATAATAACGAGTCAAAAGGGATGTGCAGGGCTCTGTTGGAACAAAGCTGTTGCAGCGCTGCTGTCACAAGTGCCAACACTATGTGCACCACCCCGCTCACACAACGGGAACAAAGCTGAAGGAACGCAAGTCATGCACACATACCACACACCACACACCACATATCACACACATACGATACACAACGCACGCATACAATAAGGCACGCACACATACACGTGCACAAACAGATATTGACACTCTGGAATACTCATACACGATCTTCTCAGGTCTCTGCCTCCGTCTTCACCCAAGATTCATCACCTCCTTCTAGAGCACCACCATCACCACTTGCGTCACTTCCTTGTGCAGCGGCACCACCACCATCATCAATCACCACCACCACTATCATCATCATCATCATCATCATCATCATCATCATCATCATCATCATCATCATCATCATCATCATCATCATCATCATCATCATCATCATCATCATCATCATCATCATCATCGTCATCATCATCATCATCATCATCATCATCATCGTCATCATCATCGTCATCATCAGCAGCAGCCCGTCACATTACGGCCAGTGCAGGCAGTTACACATTCACATCTGGCGCCGCCTCCTCGTTGAAGGTGTAGCGCCCGCGCAGCTGAAACAGCTGCTTGAAGTGCGGCTTGCAGTAGATGACGCCCTCCAGCGACGCATACGACCCGGGCGACACCTTGCAGTTGCACTCTGCACAGCGGAAGCACGCCTTGTGCACTGTCACGCCGTCAGCCTGCACCTTCTCCATCGCATACACGGGCTTGTCGCACACAGAGCAGCGGTTGGACCCGCCCCCAATCGCCTTCTTCAGCGTGCGCGCAGGCGCTGTGCCACGCCGCTGGCTGGGACTCGTGCTGCCGCCACTCGGCTTTGCAGACACATACATGCCCGCATTCTTCGGGAGGAGATGTGCAACGTCCGCAGACACCGCAGGCTTGCTCGCAAACTTGGCGGCAGCAGCGCTGGTGGGCGTTGTCGTCGTCGTCGTTGTCGTTGCTGTTGCTCGCGGTACGGTGGAGAAGGATGCTCGCACACGCGATGAGCCCGCAGGTGTGGACGTGGTTGTCTTGGTGGTCGTGGCGGCAGCGGTGGCGTTGCTCGTGGTGGTGTTGTTGCTGCTGCTCCCACTGTTGCTGCTGTTGTTACTCGTGGCACCGCTTGGTTGGCTGGCTGGTGTTGGCTTGGGTGCGGGCGCGGATGTGGCAAACGACGGGCGCGACGACGCTGCTGTCGACGCTGCCGTGGACGTTGGCGCTGTCTTTGCTGCAGAGGGAGCAACACCCACACGGGACGCAGGGTTGCGCGCCTGCGTGACAACCGTGGAGAAGCTGTGGCGAGCCGCAGGCTTGCTGCTGTTGGCAGCCAGAGATCCGCGTGCAGCCACAACACGCGCGCCGCCAAAGGCAGCAAGCCTGTCCTGGATGGACATGGCATTTGGCTTGCTGCTCGTGTCTGCAGTCGTCGTGGCAGCCGAAGTGGAACCAGAGGAGGACGACGATGCGGATGAGGCGGACGATGGCATGGCCGCAGACGTCGCTGATGACGATGACGACGACGATGCTGCGTTGCCGGCGCTTGTGGACGCAGCGCTGCTGGTGTTGCTTGGCGTGGCCGTTGCTACCGCCGTGGAGAAAGAAGTGCGGTTGGACGCAACCACGGTGCTGAAGCGAGGTCTGGATGCCGGGCTCGTGCTGGCTGTTGCTGATGTGGCTGCCGTGGCCTGCTGCTTGTCTGTTGTCTGCGGTTGTTGCTGAGGCTGCGATGCCTGCGACGTGGTGGCTGCGCGCGGTCTGATGCCGCCGCCACTGGTCTTGTCGGTGGCGATCTCGCGTGCTTTCTGCTCGAAGAACGCCACGCGACTCAGGGCGGATGGCAAGCCGTCTGTTTGCGCCGACATGCTGCTTGCTTGGTCTTGAAGGGTGTAGGGGTGTGGGGAAGAGCGGAGAAGACTGTCTGAGATCACATCAAGCATGCAAGCAAGCAAGAACGTGGGGTGAGCGATGAGTAGACGTGCGTTGTGTAATAAGAAGATTTGTTTTTTTGTGTGTTCGTGTATGTATGTCTCTGTGTGACTGTCTGTGAGTGTGAAAGTGTGTGTGTATGTATGTATATCTGTGTGTGTGTGTGTGTGTGTGTGTGTGTGTGTGTGTGTGTGTGTGTGTGTGTGCGTGTGTGTGCTTGTGTGTGTGTGTGTGTGTGTGTGTGTGTGTGTGTGTCTCAGTGATGGGGGTTGGAAGACGAAAGGATGACACCACACGTCGCATACACATACAATAAGTACAAAGAAGCGAGACGTGCGTACATGTGTGTGCTCGCAGGTCAGTGACTGCTTGTCTCGTTGTGTGGTTGTGTGGTTGTGTTTGTTTGTGTTTTGGTGCGATCTCAGGGGAAGCACCTTGTTTGTTTTTCAGTTGGCCTCGGAGAGGATCGTCCAGTCCATAAAGGAAAGGCTCACACTCGCGTGTGGTGGTGATGGATGGTGAATCGGGGAACAAGGCAGCGAGCGCGCAAGGCAACAAGGGAACGAGCAGAAGAAACAAGCACAGCAAACACAGAGAGAAGAGGAGGAACAAGAAAAGGGTGCGGTGTGTGGATGAAAGTGTTTGCCTCCTGGCTGCTGTCTGTCTTGTTGGAAGAAAAACCAAAACACAGGAAAATTCACGGATATCTTTCATTGGTATTCGCGTGCACGAGCAGACAACGCAATCGGATACGAACGAACACTCAACGCCCAACACGCACAACGTTGACGCAGGCAGGACACAGGAGACCACACGCACGCTTGGTGTTAACTGTAAGAAGAAGAAGAAGAAGAAGAAGAAGAAGGAGAAGAAGAGGGTGGAACAGGAGGAACAGGAGGAAACGAAAAAGAGCACTACACAATCACAGGCACACGAGACACGCTGACAAACACACACACAAACACACGCACACGCACAAACACACATGCAAGCAAGGGAGCACAGCGATCAATCAGCCAGAAAGGGGATCGTCGCGACAGCTGATGGCCTGCTTCAATCGCTCCGTCATAATCTCCTACAGTGACAAATACAAGCGCGTAGCGCACGTGAGCAGGGGAATACGTGCAAGCAAGAGTTCTCCCAGCACAGTGGACCAAAGATGTACATCATGTGCATGTGCCACACAATGCACACGCACATCAAATGCATGCATCAAACGTAGCACACATCAAACACACACGCAAACACACACACGCACACACACCACAAAACACACACACACACACACGTAAACACATACCTGGGAAGAGTATTGGGGAAGCTTGACCATGAAGAGGCACGTCTCTGCACGAATGAGCTGGTGGTCCGAGGAGCCAAACCGAGAGTCATCCGGGGGCGCAATCTTCATCGGATACGGCGGAATGTGCACCATCGTGCCATTGCTCATGTCAGGGTAAGGGCTCGGGATGCGCTCCTGGTTGCAGGCAAACTTGATAAACTTGCGCAGATCGGCCTGGGACAGCGACTCAAGCGCGCGCCAAAAGTACACAATGTGCCGGTCCGTCTCGCACAGCCCAGACGTGTATGTGGTGTGGCGCCGCAGAAACTCAAAGTCCACGTCCGCCACCCCGCAGATGGCCAGCTCCAGCGACTGCCACGACTGCGCCAGCATCACCTCCAGCGGCAGCACCGTGCTGAACCCTTCCCGAATCGCAGCAACATGCGCGCTGCAACTCAGCTCCTGCAGCTTAAACGCCAGCACCTGCCGCACATACTCGTCGCGGTCCTCAAACACCACAGGCACATGGCGCCCATGCAACCCTGCTCCCGCCTCTGTGCCGGCTGCACCGCCTGTACTCATCGCGGTGACACGAGCAGATGAAGCAGCACCGTCTCCAGCTGTTGCTGTTGTTGCTGCTGTTGTTGTTGTTGTTGTTGCTGTCATTGGCTTTGTTGTACCACTGCCCTGGCTACTGCTGGCGGTGGTGGTGGTGGTGGTGATGCTGCTGCTGCCGGCGACCGTGTGTCCTTCGAGCGATTGCCCACGCCGCGGCGCCTTGCGACTGGGGCCCTGGTGCTCCTGCTGCTGCTGCTGGTACTGCTGCAGCGATGCCGCGGGTGGCTTCAGGTCCACCACCTGGCCCGTCACCGTGCGCACGCTGAACGTCCAGCCCTCCGCATCAGCCTGGCGCGCAAACTCGCCTGCAGTCTTGCACGCGCGCATGGCCGCAATCACGTTGCCAACGGGGCTGTCTGCGGCGTGCACATCCTCCTCCTGCAAGGAAACGCCGGCAAGCGCCTTCCAGAAGCACGGCAGCGCCTCCAGCGGCAGCGGCACATCAGACCGGATGCACATGGCAAACAGCACGCCCAGGAACCGCAGCGAGTGCAGCTGCTGGTACGTGGGCGCGGCCGTGCGCAGCAGCACCTTGCCCACGTTTCGGCCCATGGACGAGCTCGGGCACACCATAAACAGCGGCACCGTGCCGTCCTGAAGCTCGTGGCTCATGCGCAGCATAAACTCCCGGTACGACCCGCTCGTGCCCGCAACGCGCTCCCCGGTCAGCCGCACAATCAGCGGGAAGATGGGGTCGCCGCCCTTGGCCAGCTTCACCCGAAGCTCAGCAGGGTTGATGGCATCCACCTGCTCGGCAGCCTGAAGGAACTGTGGCACGCGCTGGTGGGGATGATGCGACGTGCGGGGCACTGCCGCAACTTGCCGCCCTTGTCCCGCACCCTGCTGCTGCTGCTGCTGTTGCTGTTGCTGCTGCTGTTGTGGGTCATCGTCGCCCTGGCCCTGGCCTGCCCCAGTTGCAGCAGCTGCAGCTGCTGCTGTCGAGGATGCTGCCGCTGTTGTCGTCGCAGCACCGCCAGTGCGGGCACCGCGCTCAGCCGCGTCGGCGTCCACCACCGTCTCCAGGGGATCCAGCACAATCTCGGGGCCTTTGCTCAGGTCCACGCGCGCCGCCGTGTCATCGACGACATGCCCTGCCCACGTGCGGTACACGCTCGGGAAGATGAGGTCGCGGCTCTGGCCAAGGTGCCACGCCAGGCTGCCCTCTGCCCGCGGGCTGCGCAGGTCAATCATGGGCAACGCGTTGCCCGTCAGGCGGTTGAGCTCCTGCAGCATGGCGGCCCGCAGCGTAAGCACCTTTGTTGGATAGTGGCCCAGCGCAGAAAACTCAAGGCTGCGCTCCTGCTCAATGCAAAGCGCCGCGACGGAGAGCTCCGTGGGAAGACGCCCGCACACGCGGCTGCGCTCCCACATGAGGCGGCCCAGCTCAAGGTCCGACGCGTGCGTCCACTGCGCCTGGCACATGTTGTCAAACGCCGTGCACTTGGCCACGTCACGGAACCGCTCGTGGTGCATGTCAAAGCCCACAGAGGCCATGCCGTGCACCAACGCCACCACGTCCGTCTCCACCTTCTCCTTGGCATACGAGATGAGGTGTGTCGGGCGGAAGTGCTTGCCGTTACCTGGCCCAGTCGCCACGCCCCTCTTGCTGCCGTCACCACCATCACCACCGCCACTGCCACCACTGCCCTCGGCGGCAGCGCTGTGCTTCTTGAGCACGGCGGCCAGGTCCTTCTTCGAGCCGTCGCCCGCGTTCAGGAAGAACGTGCGCAGGATCCCAGACGTGCCCACGGGCAGGTTGGTGTCAAACTCAAACGACGACGCGTTCAGGATGCCGGCAATGGGCACGCCCTTGTGCGACGTCTTTGCGCTCATAACGTCCGTGTCCGCCACCATAAGCGAGAGCAGCGCCCGCTCAAACGCGGGCTGCAGGTTGCCCTCCTTGTCAAGGTACAGCTGGCGCAGGAACAGCTTGCACAGCGGGCCAAGCTCCGGTGTGCGCGCGGCACTGCCGCCGCTTGCCTCGCCCTCAGCCGCCGCGATGGCCACCTCGTTCAACACGCCTTCCAGGGACGACACAGACGCGCCGCTCTGGGACAGCAGGTCCGTCGACCGCAGCCGCTGCGTGCACCGCGCGACGTCCTCAGCCTCCCACAGCTCAAGCACGGCGCCCTTGACCTGGGCGCGGTTGTTGTCGCTGTCGCCAGCAGCGCTGCCACCGTTGCCGTTGCCGTTGCCGCTCGTGCTTGCGCGTTCGCTGCCGTTGTCGCCGCTGGTTGCTGCCGCCGGCGATGGCGGGATGTATGAGAAGATGCGCACAAAGCCGTTGCGGACACCACCAGCAGCGCGCGCTGCAGAGTGCACGGCGTGCCAAATGTCCGATGTAATAGGTATTGGCAACTCACTGTAATGAGAAGCTTTCGAAGGGTGGACACGTTGTACGAAGAGTTCTAATAGCTCTCCACGTAGCAGGGGGATCAGGTTGGTATGCGATGCCCGTGGCCAATATAACTTACCAGAGTGGGCAAGGTCACGACCAAGCCCAGGGGAGAACTGGTGACGCCTTCACCATGCATTGCCTTGTACCGAATCGAGCATCCACATGAGGGTTCGCATGGCGGATACCCCAGGCTGACGGTACTGTAGGTAACGACGCGTGTCAAAGAGAGCCTATGCCCAGCCACGTTCGCAAGAAAAGCGAGCACTCGACACTCTCAGGGTGGCGTGGCTACCCGGCTACCCTAGGCGAAATGTCCGTTTGACTCTCGGCATGTTACCGCCTATGCAAAATGAACCTGAGAACCCACCCACCAGCACAAACCTGGAGAGCGGCTGGTAGCCCCGATATGCAGCGGACCACGCGCGCTCAAACAGCAGGCGTGGACACCGGCTGCCATCGTCGCCGAGCGCAACCAGCGCCGCACGCAGCTGCCGCACGCCAGCGAACCATTCGGGCCCTTGCTGCAGGTCCTCAGCGGCCTGCTGCGCTGCGGCGCTCGGGAACGGTGCGCTGCCAAACCGCGCACGCACCGTGCTGGGCGACGCCGACCCGCCCTGCGAGCCACTCCCTGCTGGTCCAGGCGTGGTTGCGGCGCCACCAGCTGACGAGGCTGGGCTGCGCGACCCAACACCGCCACTGGCTGTGGACGTCCGCCCAGCTCCGCCGCGGGCAGCAGCGGCACCGCGCTTCGGGCGACGGCGGGAGCGAGAGGCGGGCCCGCTGCCAATACCACCGCCGCCGCCGCTGCCGCTGCTGCTGCTGCTGCTGGAGGCTGTGCCAAAGCTCACCTTGCTCCCGGACGGCAGCGACACCACAGTCGGCCCGCCCGCCTTGCTTGACGACGACGACGATGGTGATGACGCGGACGGCAAGGAAGAGGGGGACGATGAGGATTTGCCAGCACTGGAATCCGACGCCGCAAACAGGCTCGTGGCCTGTGCTTTGCCCGTGACAACCTGGTTCGCGCCAAACCGTGTGCAGGCGTCCACAACCACCTGCAGCACCACCTGGAACAGCGTGCTGTGCGCGCACGCGTTGAGCGACGTGCTTCGCTTGTCATACAGCGTGCACAGCTCCTTGTACAACGCGTGGAGGCGGCTCGCCACGCCCGCCTCCTCCAGCGCCTGCTGTGGTGCAGACCGCAGCACAACGGCAGCCGTTGCCAGCACCAGCTCCTGCAGCGCAGGGCCAACCTCAAGCCGCAGGCCAACGTCCAGCAGGCCCTTGACCAGCTTGGCCACAAACTTGGTCGACATGTCCGATGCGCTCTCCCTGAAGCAGAGCTGCAGCGCCGCCAGCGCGGTGGGCAGGTCCTCGGGAACACCGTGCACCATCAGCTGCGCGTTCGGGTGCACGTCCTGCGCGGTTGTGCGCACGTGCAGGCGGCGCGAGGCCGGGAACAGCAGGTACGGCAGCGGCGTGCGCATGCATGTCTGCGGCGCCGGGTACACCGCAAACTGCGGGCCCGTTCCTGCAGACCCGACGTAGAAGCGCGCCCAGGGGCCATCTTGCACGGAGGGCGGCGAGGCAAGCACGCTTCCGCTGGCGTCCTTTGGCCACACGCTCACCACGACCGCACATGCGTCATCAAAGCTCACGTCAAACGTCTTGCGGCCCACCTCGACCGCAAGCTTGGCCACCCGGAAGGCGGCGTCACTGCCGGCGCCGCTGCCGCCTTCTGCTGCATGCAGCAGCGGGGCGCAGACGTGCTTGAACACGTCCTGCTCCTTGACCACCAGCTGCAGCTCCTGCATCAGGTCGGGGGACAAGGGGTGGGGCTGGCACGTGGATGTCATGCCCGTTGCATCCCGGCCAAAGAAGGCGCCCACAGACCACTCGCGCAGGTAGCACAGCGCAGGCACGGAGGGCCGCAGCTGCTCCATGGCGCGCAGGCGCAGGGCCACGTGGCGCGGCACCAGGTCCTTGCCCAGCAGGGCGTGCTGCGCCAGCTTGACGACGGCGTTGCGGCAGTAGAGCCGCGTGAGCTGGGACTCCGCCAGCAGCAGCTGCTGGTGCGTCTCCAGGGTGATGGGCTCGCGCTGGTTCTCGCCGTCTGCGCGTTCCAGCTCGGCCGTCGGGTACCACCAGTGCATCAGGCGCGCCTCCTGCGGCACGTACACGTCCACCTGCGCCAGGTCCACGCTGCTGTCCACGCTCACCACCGTGCCCAGCAGGCCGCGCGTCTGGCGCATGCCCTCCACCTCGTATCCATGGCGGTCGCTGTGCGGCAGAATCTTCACCTGCATGCCCGGCTTGAGCTCCTTGGCCTCGACCTTGCTCACGCTCTGCTTCATGTCCTCGATGGTGGGGAAGGTGAGGTCGGACGGCATGCCGCCGCTCTCCTCGTACAGGCCTTCCACCGTCATGCGCGCAATGTCGGCCATGCCCATGAGCAGCGCGCCGCGGATCTGCTCAAACCCGCTGCGCCGCTCCTGCGAGTTGCGGAAGCGGGAGGAGATTTTGGGGAAGATGTCCTTCTCCCACGCCTTGACCAGCTTCTCCGTCAGGTCCTCCTCCTCTTCCTCGTCCTCGCCAACCCCCACCGTCGTGCTGCCAATCATGGTCGTGTGCACCGCCGACAGCACCTCCGTGTGCTCTGTGCTGGGCAGGCTGTCCTTGCTGGAGACGGCCACGGGCCGCGTGTCCACGCTGTGCCTGTGGGCCGTGTTCACGGGCGCGCTCTCGTCGTCCTCAAACGAAAAGGGGGACAGTCCAAACAGGGACGAGTGCTCCATGCCGGCCTCGTCGCTCGCCGTGCGCGAGGGCGACAGCAGCTGCTCCGGCTTGAACAGGAACGGCGACAGCCCAAAGTTGGCCTCCACCTGCGTGTTGCCGCCAAACACCCTCACCACGGGCACGCTGTTGTTGGACAGGCCCTGCACGCGGCGCGGCAGCAGGCGCCCGTTGTGCGTAAACTGGATGCTCGAGCCGTCGCCGAGCCACGCGCAGCCGAGCGTGTCGCCGATGCTCAGGTTGAGGTCCACGTTAAACTCGTTGGTGCTGGCCGGGGAGCGCTGGTGGTGCACCTTGCCGCGCGAGTCCAGCAGGACGGCGCCCGGCTTCCACGTGCTGGAGCTGTCTGTGGCGGGCGGCGCCATCCCAACGAGCATGAGTGGGCCATCGCTTGGGCGGCGGTCCGTGGCCACCAGGCGCACCTCAAAGTAGAAGCACTCGCACCCGGCGGGGATGGGCTTGTTGGCAAACACGGTCACGGGCCGGTTGCGGCTCTCCGCGGGGGCGTTGCGGCCCGCAACCACCCTGAACGCCGTCTTGTTGGACAGGAACACAATGTTGCTCAGCTCTGGGAAGCGCTGGTTCACGTCCCAGTGCAGCAGCGTCGGGGGCGCAGCGCCGCCCTTGGCTGCCGAGTGGATGCTTGGGCGGTCCTTCTCGAAGAACGTGCGCCGCAGCTCGGAGCACTTGCCTGCAATCACGGCCCGCGGCTCCCCGGCCACGCCCTGCGCCTCCTTGGCCAGCTTGATCACCGTGGCCAGCGCCCGGTCGCCCTGCGCCACAAACTCGTGCGCGCTGGCCTCCGACTTGAGCCGTGCGCCCAGCGCCATGCACGCGCGCGTGCGCAGCTCCGCCAGCAAGCGGTGGCTGGTGGCAACCAGCTGGGACGCCTTGGTTGCGCCCACGCCCTCCGGCGCCTGCTGTCCGACGGGCTCGTTTGCACCCTGCATCAGCAGCGCCTCCAGGCAGCGCGCAAAGGCTGCGCCAACCATGCACTGGATGGCGCGGGGCGGGTCCTCGTTCTGCGACTGCACGTACTGCAGCGGCACGCGCAG